AGCGAGGGAGCGAGGGAGCGAGGGAGCGAGCACATGCTCGCCCTCCCGTCCGCCGCGCGTTGCCGAAATTTGGCTCGCAACTCTTGTCGATGGAACAGCGCGTCCGTGTGTTTGTCACTTCTGTCCGTTGGCCACAGCAGAGGGGCAGCTGCGATGCAGTGCGATGCGATGCAAGGCGATGCGAGTCGATGCCGCGCAGACAGCCCCACGCCCACTCGACCCACACACACATAACATTCGACGAGCGCCGGCATGCCAGGTTCCTGGCACGCAACTTGCTCGTTCGCTCGCCCGCTCGCCCGCCATCGTGAGCTGCACCCAAGAAACGGGCGTTGGCTGATGCTCCAGTCGCCATGCCATGCCATGCTAGTGTGGGCTGCGCTTGGCACCTGTGTGTCAGTTTGCCCCCCTGCCGATGAGCGCTTGCACCTGCACCCTTTGCACACCTGCCTTGGTCTCCCGTGTGTCCGTGAAGACTTGAAATGACCTTGTCGATCCCGTCGTTCCGATTCCGCCTACAGTATTCGCACTTCCCCATCCCAGCCTGAGCCATCCAGTTATCCATTGCGAGAAGCACCTCCAGGCGTCTTCGCTTCGATCGGCGCGAACGACGATACAGCGCTGCTTCGAGCTCCTCCTTCCGCCACAACCCCCTCTTTCGCCGCCTCGTAAGCTTATCGGTCAACTCTGGCAGACGGACGTCGTAGCCGGTTGTTTCTTACCGCCGCCCTTTGCAACTCCGACGGTCCGTTGAGGTCCTCCGATCAGCTCGGTACCATCTTGCCCCCCAGCCTCCACCATCCTTTTCTTCTCGTCCCCTAACCCTTCAGCGCCTCTATCTGCACTACCTTTCTCGCATTCGCATCCGCACGCTCTTCGCATCCCAACTCGTGGCCTCTCTGCAAGCTTTCTAGAGCCCCGAAACATCCCGAACGTACACGGGGATCCCTTGACACACGCCCAGCTCCAGCGACGACCACTAGGATCCCCCGCCTAGCCACCTCTCGCCTTCAACTTATCGACAGCGTCAGCATCATCCGATTCAGCATGGCAGCTTCCACCTCGAACCAGCTCTCGCTTTGATATTTTGCAGCTTCAACTCGGGTCTACACTTTTGCGCTCGCTACCATGTCGCAGCCCAACACGGCTGCCATTGCGGTGGGCGCCATCTTTGGCGGTATCGCGCTCATCTTTGTGTCGTACAAGGTCTACTGCAAGTTGTGGCACTGCATGCATCGCGCCGAGCAGCTTCCACCCATCAGCCAGCCACCCACGGCGTACCGCGGCGGCGTAGTCGTTGCCACGCTGCCCACCATTGCTGCACCATCGTATCGACGCGATGGATCTAGCGACCACCTTGCCTCGTCGATATCCACATCGCCGCAGGATGGATTCGTTTCGACTTCGACCAGCGAGATGCCATCTCCCTCGATCCGACCGTTGGACTCGGTTGTGCTCTCCACACCGGGCGGCTACGAGCCGCAGTTTGGCGGCACGTCGGTGATGTCAAGCTCGTCGTCTACAATGACGTTGAAACGGTCGTATCTGCGATCACCCTCTTCGCACTCGTTTGCATCGTCAAGGAGAGAATCGTACCTGCCGCATTCGCCACGCAACCGCGACTCGATCCAGATCGTCCCGCCGCAACCACTCGGCGGTATGGCTGAACCGAGGGGGTTGGCAAGGGACAGGTCGGTGGACGAGTTTACGAGCGGACTGATCTGGACCGAGACGGGAGATCGACGAGCGGTACGCGCGAATCAGAGGCAACAGTACCTCAGGTCGGGTCCTACGCGGCAGAGCGAGACAGCCAGCGCTGTGGGATCGTCTCAAAGCAGCAGTGGATCGGCGGTGATGGAGGCAGAGGAGCTCGGAGCTCCGGAGATGCAGTCGCTCAGTGCCGGTAATCTGGCACGGTCTGCGCATTTGGGTTCGACGGCAGCGATCGATCCGCAGCTGCTCAGGGCAGAGGACAGCCCGCTAGAGCGACTGCAGAGCAACGCGGGCCAAGCAAGACCGTTGCCCACGCGGTCGTCGTCACAGAGCAACAGCAACCGGTCCGACTCGAACGCTTCGCCCATTCTCAGCCCCTTTGGCCAAGACAGCCCTGCGGCGTCGCAGCCAGCGACGGAGCAAGCGCACAGCAGCTCAGCCAACCAAGCGGACGAGCCGAAGTAGCATTTTCTCTTCTGTGTTTAATCTCGCAATCGTTCTCATGTCAGATCGAGGGTCTGTGGTTGCTGGTTGAGGCTGGGATGACAGCGGCGGTGAACGGCGTGCAGTGTCATGCGCCGCCGTGCGAAGGGGTTGATATGAAGGAGAGACCAAAAAAGATGGTGCAGCGGTGTGCTGTAGGGAATTTCTCGGAAAAAAAAGGAAAGCGACCCCAGGCGGGCT